AAGTCTTCATGATATAGTAAAGGAGGTGTACATGTTTCTTTTCTGAACCTATATTAAAAAGAGCTAATTGGAAAAATTCCAAGCCAAAAAAAAGACAAGACAAAAATGGTCTAAATATGTAGCAAACTAAAATAAGGCATGCCGTTAATCTTATGGGAGTGTAGGAAAGGAAACCCACTTCACCTTGACACCTGGCCTCTCCAAGAGTTAACTGACATTAGCTTTCACTCTCAAGTTAAGTGATATAAATTCCTCTGAGGTTCTCTTCTCCTGAATTGTTTCTACCAAGAAGAATATTTCCACAATCTTACTTTATAACAGTTCTAAATTTTAGACCTAACCTATAGACAAAGCTTGGAAGACCTGATTCTAGTCCTGGAGCCAACTGAAAATGCTGTAACTCCTGTCCATGTAAAGATTATAATACAGCTGAAAGAAGTCAGGAGAGGGAAGAGAGGGTGATGCTGGGCCTCTCAATTCCTTTTCAGCCTAGTAGAGAATAAAGAGATACCACACAAAAAAAATAGCCAAAACACATAAATTTAAGTAATATTACCTGAAGTGAACATTTACCACTAACAAAACTCAGGAGGTGAGAGGTAAGATTTATGTAGGCTAGACTGTTCTTTTTTCATCACTCAGAGTCAAGTGATACTGTCAAAAATTTATAGTTCACTACTTACAAATTTATGGTTTAGAAATTTGAAGGAAACCACCAAAAAAATAGACATGGTTAAAAATTGCTAGTTCCAAGGACTGAGCTGAGAGAGACAGAAGATGTTTACTCTTCACTTAATACATTCTTGATCATTTCCATTTCTGGAATGTTTTCTTCTTTTAACAGTGATTACAAAAATAACAAAATGATGGCAATATTTTAAATAAATTTGTTAAAAATGTAAGGCCAATAAACAAAACCAATTAAATATAAACTTGGTATCTGCATTTCCCAACTCTGTAAACTGATTTCTTCTGGAACAGAGTGGAAGGTAATAAAAAATGTGGGCTTTGGAGTTGGATAGACTCGAATTTCAGGTTTAGGACGTACTAGTAAAGTGATCTTGGGCTTAATTTACCAAACTTTCCCAAGCCTCAATTTCATCAGTCACAAAACAGTGATAAAATTTAGCTTGAAGCATTGTTATGACAATTAAAAAAATATTGTATATTACAATGCAGTGATCAGATAATATATAATAAAACTTGAAATGATATAAAAGATATATTAAAATATGTGCCAAGCACATATTAAGCACTCAGCAAAGTTAGTTGTTGTAATCATTAACCCTCAGGTCGCTATCTTTGGGGTATATAGTTGGCAATTCAACTATAAAATCCAAGGTAATAAGAGTATTGAATTGCTAGGCAACTACAATAGAGACAATTACTAATTGGGTATCTTTTGTGCCTCCTTGGGCAGTGAGTCTCAAATTCAATACGCATAGGAATCACCTGGGGTTCTATTTATAAGGGGACATTCTGATTCAGTGCATCTGGGATGGGGTCCAAGGACCCGCATTGCTAACGAGCTCTCACGGGATGTCAGTACTGTGTTCCAGGGACCACACTCTGAGTGGCAAGGCCCTAGATGATGGAATGGGCTGGCAAAGGTATTTCCAGATGTTCATATTACAAATCTATAAGGCTGAATTTTTCTTCTTTAAACAAGATAACGATGAATCGATGTATCTTGCTCTTTTATGTTCAGAAATTACATTAGATAATAAATGCATACATGGGACTTCCTTGGTGGTGCAATGGTTAAGAATCCACCTGCCAATGCAGGGGACACAGGTTCGATCCCTGGTCTGGGAAGATCCCACATGCCATGGAGCAACTAAGCCTGTGTGCCACAACTATTGAGCCTGTGCTCTAGAGCCCACAAGCCACAACTACTGAAGCCCGCACTCCCTAGGGCCTGCATGCCACAGCTGCTGAGCCGGCGTGCTGCAACTACTGAAGCCCCTGTGCCTAGAGCCCGTGCGCCACAACGAGAAGCCACCACAATGAGAAGCCCGCACACCGCAACGAAGACCCAATGCAGCCTAAATAAATAAATAAATAATAAATTTAAAAAATAACTTAAAAAAAATAAAAATAAAAAAATAAATGCGTACAGAGTAATCTTCGGTAAAAGCTCAGTGTGTCCACCAGCTCTTGTCACTCTGTACTCCCCATGGACCTGCCCTTGGATTGGCTGATGCAGTCACCATGTGAATGGATTGACACTGCTTGACCACCTGTGAGAGGTCACATGCCAGCGATGGAACAATCTCTCGTGCTAATTTATTCTGGACCTCTGCTGCCTCCGACGATTGCACATTAGAGTATTTTCACAAGTGTTATTACAGTAAATCTGACTCAACTAGAGCATTTGGGCTGACGTTTTAAGTATTTCATGTTTACAACCCCTTTGCAAAGGGATTTAACAACGTCCAAAAAGTAGATATGCACTTGCCCTTTGAACCATTTCCAGGTTCTCATTTCTAGGACTCTTCCCTGAGGCTACGCTTTTGTGAGAGACAGAATAATGGCGCCCCAAAGATGTCCCCATAACCTGTGACTATGTTAACCCTACTTGGCAGAAGGGACTTCACCGATGTGAGTAAATTAAGGATCTTGAGATAGGGAGATTATCCTGAATTAATTAGGTGGGTTCAATGTCATCCAAGGACCCTTAAAGTAGAAGAGAGATCAGGATAATGCAATGTTCTCCATCCACCATTGCTGGCTGTGAAAATGGAGGAAGGGAGACAGGAAGCAAGGAATGTAGGTGGTCTCCAGAAGCTAGAGAAGGCAAGGAAGGGCATACCCCCTAGAGCCTCCAGAAGGAACACAGCTCTGCTAACACCTTGGTTTCAGCCCAGTGTGACCGACTGCAGACTTCCGACCTCCAGAGCTGTAAGATAATAAATTTGTGTTGCTTTAAGCCATTAGGTTTGCTGTAATTTGTTACAGCAGTAATAGGAGACTAATACACCTTCCACAAATATGAAATAGCATAGGCAAAGGACATCACTGTGGCTTTATTTGTAACAGCTAAAGACTGGAAACGACCCAAATATCCATAATTAGAGACTAGATGAACAAATACAGTGGCATCCTCTGTACCTGCAAACGAGAATGAGGAAGCTCTCTATACCTAATATGAGCTGACCTTTAGGACATATTTTCAAGTAGGAAAAAACAAGATACAGCACACTACGGATTTTACCTTTCAAGTAGGAAAGAAAGAGAAATAAGAATATACATATGTTCCTTTTTCATAAAGAGAAACACTACAGGGTAGGCCAGAAATAAATTAATAAAAATAATTACTTATGGGTATGTGATGAAGAAGCTAGGGAAGGAAGCAAGATATCTCTGAGAATATATCTTTTATTTTTTTATTTTATTTTATTTTTTTTTGAGAATATATCTTTTAATATATCACTTTGACTTTTGGGCCAGGTAAGTGTTTTCCATATTCAAAATAAAAAATTATATTTAAAAATAATTTAAAATAAAATTAAAATATTCATATTTAATTTTAATAGTTTTCTGCCTACAATTTACATTCTAAAACCTTCCCTAGACTTACTCCGCTGCTAATGGAATTCTATCCCAATGCAAAATAAATACTCAAATCGAGAAACTGTTTCCTGACAGAACTGGCAAAATCACAGATTGCTGGTGGGTTAAGATTGACCATTTCTGCTGATTTTGCTGTTTGTTAAACCATATTCTGACGTTACGGACCTGACTGACAGGCTATGGGACACGGTACACCACTTGCAAAGCAAATAGAGAAAACCAATTTCACAGAGCTAGCAACAGCGCCATCTGGTGGCAAAACCTAAAGCTATAACTTAAAATTGAAGTACAGATTCTTTTTGAAGTGGTGTGCTCTTTTATACTGAAATTATACTATATGTGGGGAAAAAAAGCAACCAGAAATGGCTGGTAGTAAGACCTTATTAACTCCTGTGTGAAACTGAGGTGACTCAATACACGATACTGATATATTACATTTAAAAATGCATTTAGCTTGCACAAAATCCTTATTGAAACTCAAGCAACAAGAAGCAATTTTGAAAAAAATTATTTTAGTGTCAATTATAGACATGCCAAATCTATTTTCATAGTTTTTAAGATCGATGTTATAAAAATGCAGCCAGTTTCAGGTTAAAAAAACAAACAGCCAGGATGATTTACACAACTATCTCTGATTATCCGGGTTCCTAAAAGTGAGAGACAGAAACGACTACCACATCCCAGGAGGGTCTAAACTACTGAATAAAACACACCTTATTTGTTTTTCATTCTTCCTTTCCCAGTACAGGCCAATGAATAAAATTATTTCCATGTTCAATTCTTATCAAAAATAGGAGATTTTCTCCTTCTTTTAAGATGACTGTTTACACATAAAATTACACTATCGAAGTGAGGCAATTAAGCAATTTGGAGTAAACATAGCTTTGCTTTAAAAATCTTAAAATAATTGTCATAAAAACACTATTTGGATAATTGCTTCAATCGCGCCAACAATCAAGTTGCTGTGAGATGAATCAATTCGATTCAAAAGAAATTTGTGGAGCACCTACTGTGTGCCCTGCCTGACCCTGATTCAGGTACTGGAAGGGCTAGTGGAGATGCCTAAGAGCCAGGGAAGCTTCTGTAAAGTTCACTGGAGAGTTGGCAGTTAGTGGTGTGAAGGGCGGGGCTTGCGGCTGAAGAGGGCAGAAACAGACAGACGTGTAAGGCTGCGAGAACACAGAAAGGATGCTAATAAAAAGGGAGGAAGAAACGTTGGGATTGGGATTGACATATATACACCAACATGTATAAAACATAATAGGAACCTTCTGTATAAAAAAATAAAATTCAAAATAAAAAAGAAAGAAAAGTTGTGGGAATTCATGGGCAACTTTCTGATAAGCAAAAGCAGGGGTTGGCGTTATTTTACCTTACACTTTAGCTAACAGTACTAGTTGTAAGCGAGGCTACAGTTCAGGAATTACCATCCCTCCTGGCATCTGCTATCACCCTTGCTGCGGACTTGCTCATCACGTGCACGACACACAGAGGGCAGTTCACGGCGCCGGCTATGGTGATGGCTCTCAGCGTGGCTTCTGCCTCCACCGCTTCTGGGCGGCCCAGCTCATGGCCCTCAGGACCCGTTATCCCCAAAGCCAACATCTTCTTTGCTCCCTAAAAAAAGGCAGCAGGAACATACACACCGGTGAGAAAGGTTTACTAACGACAACTCCTACAATTTTGTTGTGAAACGAATGCACTGCCAGGCTTTTATTTTAGATCTATTAGGTATAGGTGTGTGTGAATGTGTGCGGAGACAGTGTGTGTTTTGGGTAAAAATAATCTACTACTCTCAAAGCATATGTTAATTTTTCATATACATATTTCACAATCAAATTATTTTGATTGAAAAGGTGACAAAGATATGAGGTCTGTTCTAATCACAGTCTTTGAAAAGTAGTGTCCATATTTAAGACTTTTTATTGGTTCAGAACAAAATATAATAAAACAAAGTATTCTAGTCCCCCATATTATATCCTTGATGAAGCGACTCATGCGATTATGTAGTTAGTTCTATGTTTTACTGATTCATTCTCTTCATTGCCTTCTTCCCCGATCCATGGAGTGATATTAGACCAGTATTTCCTCTCTCCAAAAGGGTTATTCCTTCCTTACAAAACAGTCCAGAAGTCGAGACTCAGAGTGTCAAAATGACTCGCCTGGCGTCACACAGCTAGGACGCGGAAGAGTCCAGTTTAAACCTGGTGTGTTTGAGCTTCCAGCTCACGTTTTCCTCTTATCAACCCCCGTGCCCACCGCCCACCCCCCATCCTGGCCACGGGGCCTCCATCTCACTGACTTTAATGGGAACTGAGCCCAGGGAGACAGAAAGATCAGCTAATATAAAGGGTAAGAGACAGCTCTTTAAATCTTGCAGACGGTGTATGTACCCTTTGGGCATTAATAACGGAATTAACATGAGAAATATCATCTAGATTCCTCCACAGCACATTTTAATACCCAGTTTCTGAAAAGAATGGGGCTTTAAACAGCTACCTAATGCACTGCTTTAGTCATCAGATTTCACCGATGTCCACACTTTGGCATTTTGAACCAGCAGCTTGAGCTACCTAAAAAAAAAAAAAATGCTGGGGACACAAAGAAAAATATTTGTGTTTTTAGAATAAACCTTGTCTGAGATCTAATAACTGATCTCAAAAAAGGGAACTCCTCATTCCAATACATATACCACCTGCAAAAAACTCGGAGCCGGACAGCAAGTAATTCAAGTCAAGCGTTTCCAAGCCACATAAAATTAGTTTCTGAATTTCCTTTCTTCCAATCCATTAAATGAATTTACCTACATGGGGCCAGTCGTCCTCACCTTAAGTTATGGCCATTTTCATTTCTGTGGAAGCTCTGGAAGGCAGTTACTTACCTCTGCAATTAGGTCTCCATTTTCTGCATGAACTTCAGCAATTGCTCCAATTTCCTTGCACCAAGAGAAGACCTTGTACAGCTCCACATCTCTCAGCATGTACAGATCTTTATAGGCCATAAACATCTTGAAGGAGTTCACACCTTTATCTTGGGTAAGGATTTTCATTTCTTCTTTAACCTAAAAGGGCACAAAACCCACAGCAGAATGTTACTCTTTAATTTAAAGATAATATCAGCATTCTCCAAATTCTTGCATTCATAAGAAAGTGAAGTAAAATAAGGACATCAGTTGGACTCCAGAAAAATGTAATGAAGGTCTTGATCTTTCCCCTAGGTTAGACCTCATTTCATCTGATGAACTGCTGTTGTTACGATACTTTTATTTTTAAAAATTATTTATTTATTTTGGCTGCTCTGGGTCTTAGTTGCGGCAGGCGGGATCTTTAGTTGCGGCATGTGGGATCTAGTTCCCTGACCAGGGATCGAACCCAGGCCCCCTGCATTGGGAGTGCAGAGTCTTAGCCATTGGACCACCAGGGAAGTAAGTCCCTACGATACTTTTAAATCATGAAAGAGTTAATAGTATTTCCCCCAAATACTTCACTGTTATACTTTACGAAATTCTCAGCATCTATCTCCTGATGAGAAGAAATTATTCTAGAACATGAAAACGAAGCCACTGGCAGCAAGAGAGGCAATTGTGTCTCTAGAAGGAATCAGAGCTAATGTGAAGTAAGGGTTTGGGGTCAAATCTGAAACCTACAGGATGAGTTCAGAGATGCAGGTAGTGGAAGATGCAGACTGAGCCACTGGCAGCTCCTGGGAGTTGAGTGACTCTGGACCTGTCAGAAGCCTCAGGAGCCTTCTGGGTTGCCAACTAAAAGGTTCTGATCACCGATTCCAATGTGTGGAGGTGGGGAGGTTCCCCACCCTCACCAAGTGGCTCTCCAGGCACCAGCTGAGGGGTATCCTACAATTAAACTCAATTTTCACACTATCTACCTGCACCACAGGTAGACTGCACTGTGTTCCACAAGTTAAGGGTTCAGTGCTATGGGGTGTTCAGGTTGTCACCTGCACTTCTGACCAACTGGCTATAAGTGAGAGCTTCCCACAACCCCCTCCTTGGATTCAATTAATTTGCTAAAGCGGTTCACAGAACTCAGAGAAACATTTTACTTACTGGATCACCAGCTTATGATAAAAGGATACGATAAAGGATATAGATAAACATCTGGATGGAAGAGGTATGTCCTAGGGCAAGGAATGGGGAAAGCACACGGGGCTTGAATGCCCTCTCTGAGAGCGCCACTCTCCCCAAATCTCCAATCGGTCAGCATCCTGGAAGCTCTCCAAATCCCATCCTTTTAGGTTGTGGCGGAGGCTCAATTACACAGTCATGATTGATTAAAGCATTGGCCACTGGCAACTGATCCAGCCTCCAGCCCCTCTCCCCTCCCCTCCAGGTCAGCTGGGTGGGACTGAAATTTTCAACCCTCTAATAATACAGTTGGCTCCTGGGGCAATCAGTCCCCATCTTTAGGTGGGGTCTAAAAATCACCTCTTTACCATAATAAAAGACACCTTTGTTGCTCTCATCACTTAGGAAATTCCAAGGGTTTTAGGAGCTCTGTGCCAGAAATGGGGACGGAGACCAGATATGCATTTCTTATTATAAATCGCAATGTCACACCAACAGTAAGGGACAAGTTAAGATCAAAACTAGCTTAGTAATTGCCCTTGCAGGTCCAATTCTAGTTTCAACAAAGACTAAAAACTTCAAAGGAAAAGTCAGAAGACGATCAAATAAAATTGCTTGAATTTCTACATGTTAAAAAACACACACACACACACACATACATATATATAACATAAAATATAAAACAAAAATATACGACAAAACATAAAAATATATAACAGACATAGGATTATAGCTCTTAGTTAATAAAAAATTTAAAAAGAGTTATTGCTGTTTCTACTTGAAGAAAAACCCTAACATTCTAGGTAAAAAAATGTTACAGTTCAAACAGTAAATACAAATGACTAATAAACATGGAAAAAATGTTAACTTTCCTACTGATTAAAAAGTATAAAATAGGGACTTCCCTGGTGGCACAGTGGTTAGGAATCTACCTGCCAATGCGGGGGACATGGGTTCGATCCGGGAAGATCCCACATGCCACGGAGCAACTAAGCCCGTGCGCCACAACTGGTGAGCCTGTGCTCTAGAGCCCACTAGCCACAAATACCGAGCCTGCGAGCCACAACTACCGAGCCTGCGAGCCACAACTACCGAAGCCCACGTGCCTAGAGTCTGTGCTCCACAACAGGAGAAGCCACTGCAATGAGAAGCCCACACACAGCAATGAAGAGTAGCCCCCGCTCACCAGAAGTAGAGAAAGCCCGCGTGTAGCAACAAAGACCCGACACAACCATAAATAAACAAATAAATTTATTTAAAAAAAAGTACAGAATAAAACAACGCAATTTTTCCCTACTGAATCAGCAAAGTTTTAAAAATGACAATATCACATGTTAAGTTACTCACTTCCACCACTATTTACTCCTTTACTAATTTTCCTTACTTTCCTCCATGGTGCTTTATCACCTGGCATATAATATAGTTACTTGTTGATGGCCTGCCTCCTCCTCTAGAATTTCCACCCCGTAAGAGCAGGGCCTTTGTACAGTTTGTCCATTGCTATATCCTAGAATAGTGCCTGGTCCATAGTGGCCACTCAGTAGCTTTCTGTTGGATGAATAAATGCATGAAAAGAAACGGCAAACACCAAAATGCTGAGAACGGCATCACTGAAATGATGGAATGGGTTCCAAGATCCATTAAGTGACGACAGTAAGGGCAGGACTTGCGATAGTGTGCCTCATTTTTTTAAGCTTCTTTGTAAGTTCATATTTTCTACCATGAGTCTATTATTTTTATAGTCAGAAAAAAATTGCTTTAAACGTTGTTGGAATATTCACACGATGGGGTTCCCAAAGGGAGTTATGATCTGCATTGCTCAGATGAAATACCTATTACTCCCTGAGTAGAAGAGCCTTTCTGAAGGTGGCCTCGTTAAACATCCCTGTCATCCACATCCATATCCATGGGTAAGTCTCACTATACTGTATTGCTCTCGCACCATCAGTATCACCTGGGAGCTTGTTAGAAATGCAGAATCTCAGGCCCTGCCCCAGACCTACTGCGATGGGTTGACTGTGTCCCCCCCAGATTCATATGTTGAAGTCCTAACCCCCAGTACCAAATGTGACCTCGCTTGTGTAAAAAATTAATAGAAACCTCAATTAAGCGGATGTCGGGAGACCAGAAGGGGGAGCTCTCACACCTGCATGTCAACACAGGGAAAAAAAAAAAAAGACTCCTTTCTTGGCAAGGACTCAGCCAATGAAACGTCACGGACTCTTTGTTTACTACAGCCCCCCCCCCCCAGCTTCCTTTCCCCCTCGAGGAAAGCCTGCTCCTTCCCTTGTCCTGCGGGGACTTGCACGTGGCTCGCCAAGCTTGCAGACCCTGAACTGCAATTCTCTGCTGATCCCAAATAAACCCATCTTTGCTGGAGAAATACCCAGCAGTCTATTTGTTTCAGGTCAACATTTGGAAATAGGGGCATTGCAGATGTAATTAAGATGAGGTCAGCAGGGTGGACCATAATCCAATAAGATTGGTGTCTTTGTTAAAAGGGGAAATTTAGACACAGACACACACACACACACACACACACACACACACATAGAGAACATCATGTAAAGATGATGGCAGAAATTCAGGTGATGCTCCTTCAAATCAAAGAATACCAGAGATTGTCAGGAAGCCACCAGAAGCTGGTGAGAGGCATGAAAGAGATTCTTCCTTACAGCCCTCAGACGGAATCAACACTGCCAACACCTTGATCTCAGACTTTTAGCCTCCGGAACTAAAAGTGAGACAGTACACTTCTGTTGTTTCAGCCACCCAGTTTGTAGTTCTTTGTTGCAGTAGCCCTAGCAAACTAATACACTTACTGAACATAATCTGTGTTTTAACAATATTCACCAGGTAATCATTTGCATATTAAAGTGTGAGGAACACTGGTAAGGGCAAACATCTTCACCTTTGCTCTATCTTACAAAACAAGAGAGGGAGGAAAGGAGGAAGGGAGAAGGGAAAGGAGGAAGGGAGATAGAGAGGAAGGACGGGAGGGAGGGAGGGAGGGAAGAAGGAAGGTAGGAAGGTAGGAAGACCCTAAAAGCACGAAAGAGATCAGATGCCTCATTTAGAATGGTGTTTCTGGGGAAAAATTAACTTTTTCTCTGGACTATAAACCTTGCTATTACGTTTGCTGAACTATCTGTTAAAGACTGATTACTTGTTTTATATTAACTTGGTGTCTACAGTCCAAATTTTGGGAGGAAGGAGGGACATAAGTTACATGATAACTTCAAATAAAGTCATCCCATGAGCCCTTTCTGGCAAAACGAGTTCTGAATTAAGTTCAATGTGGAAAAACATGTTATTGATTTAAACCACAAGTCAAAGTTCCTTCCAAAGTACACATACATGTTTTCACGGGAAAAAAAATAAACATATTTTAACATCTCTCAAAACTGTCTTTTCTGTCTGAATCATGTTATCATTTCTGCCATGACCTAAATCATTAGCAGATACGAAGGTTGTGTAAGCTCTGTTTTGAAATGCTTTGACCAGGTGTTGATGTTAGCAGAGCACCAGGTCAGTGCACATCTAGGAGAAGGCCTTGAACACATTCCCAGTCTGTCCCTTCCTTGGTTTTTTCCCAGATATTAAAAACATTTGTCAGTAAAGTTTCGATCTGCGGGAAAACACTGCTTAAAAGTGTCCTGTATTGTTAAGTTGAGAAGTCCAGTACTTAAAAAAATTACATTTAAAGTATTTACAGTTCATGAATTAAATATTAGGAAAGTCTTTTGTGAATGAGTATAAGGGATTTATCCTACCACTTTCATACACCTTAAATTTTTTTTTAGTTTTCTAAGTTGATAATACCTCACATGACTCAAAATTCAAACGGTACAAAACAGTATGCAGTGAAAAGTCTTCCCTCCAACTCTGAGTTCCAGGAAGCCACCAACATCACCAGTTTCTTACGTTTTGACATTGCCTGTTCCTTGACCTTTGCACAGAACAAGGACTAAAGGACTAAACGGAAGAAACTGGACCCCCCAGTGGTTCACCTGCTCACTCCACCATGTCACTGCCACATGAAGGCTGTAGTCACAGCAGACTTTGGGATCAGCCCAGCTTCGCCAGGTCTCGAAGGCCTCGATGAGGGAGTGGCCTTTGTGAGGAATGGCAAAATCAATGATCATGGTGGTGCCTCCTGCCAGGGCAGCCTGGAATCACAAAAGAGTTTCAACAGGTTAGCCATCAGTTTTCTAGCTGAGTCATTTATCCCCTTGAACAACATGCATTTGCAAGCACTTGGGCAAACTTGATGGGTCCAGGAAATTGCACAAAGATGCTGCCTGTTTAAAAGATCTAGAAAGACATGAATAGATGTTCCATAAATTAAAGTTTGAAGTATTAAAAGAGCTGGAATTGCTTCTGCAAAAAGAATGACAAGTCTGATGAAATGAAAACGGCTCTGACCAAAGAAAATAGCGAAGGCTGTAAAGTAAAACCAAAATGGAAAAACGGAGAAGATTCAAACATTTTTCTTCTCAAGAAAACATCATTGTACAATCCACTTCGTTAGAATCAATCTTGGTGAACTGTATCTCTAACTACACTGTGTTCCACACAGAATCCTGGGAGACTCACGTGATTCCCACCTGACCTTCATTCCCCACAACCAACTGGTGACTCCTTAATCTTTCCTTAATTCTCAACTGTCCCCTCTAATCCATCTCCAATGCTCTGGTCTTAATGTCACCCCTCAGCTTGATCTTTATGTCCCCAGTTTTGCTCTTACTTCCTCCAACGCAAACCCCTTTTTGCAATTAGCGGGAAATTCCGAAGCACAGATGTGACCCCTTGACTCCAAGACTTAAAACTGAATGCTTCTCACTGCCTCTGGAATAGCACTGGATCTTTTTAACATGATCTACAAGGCCTTGCACGATCTGCCTCGAAGCTTCTATTTCCCTGGCATATTACACTACGTTACATTACAACTGGATTAAAAACTATTAAGTTATTAAATCATGTCTTTGACTAATTACTGACTTTGATTTTATTTAAACTAAGATTAAAAGATGGTTAAATGTGTTTTTAACTGCTGTGTTCAGACAATGTAGGTGAAAAAAAAAAAAAACATAGGGAGGTATATACTAGTGCACTGGTTAAGGGCACCGACCAAAGAGGCTTATTGGTTCCAGGGCACAGCTCAGATTCAGCACTTGTCAGCTACGGTACTCTGAGCAATTCCTTAACTGCTTCCTTCCCTCCTTCCTTCCTTCCTTCCTTCCATCCTTCCTCCTTCCCTTCCTTCCTTAATTCGTTCCTTCCTTCTTTCCTTGTACAGTATTGTTCTGTACATTCTGCACATCTGATCCCCAGAACTTATTCATCTTATAACTGCAAGGCTGTGTCCTTTGATCAACAGCTCCCCATTCCCCCCATGCGCCCCGTCCCCAGTCCCTGGCAACCACCGTTCTACTCTTGGTTTCTCTGAGTCTGGCTTTTTTAGATTCCACATATAAGTGAGATCATATAATATCTGTGTTTCTCTGTCTGACTTATTTCACTTAGCACAATGTCCTCAAGGTCCATCCACTTTGTCACAAATGGCAGGACTTCCCTCTTTCTGGATAATATTCCAGTGTAGACATACACCATATTTCCTTTATCCACTCATTCATAGATGGACACGTTAACTTATCTATATCTAGACTATTGTGAATAATCCTGCAATGAACATGCAAGTGTAGACAGGAATTTCTTAACCTCTGTGTGCCTTTGATTCCTAACCTGTAAAGTGAGGACAGTAATTGTACCTGAACCATAGGGTTGTTGGGAGGATTAAATTGGGGTGACGTATATAAAGTGCTTAATACCGTGTTTGACTCAGGGTAAGTGCTTCATAAGCTTCAGCCCACAAGGAGTGATGAGCCTTTGCACCACTGCTTTAGAATCGGGCACTTCCCCGCTTTTCATACATTGACTCATCCCACCACCAGAAACATGGTCATGTTACAACAAAGAAGGGAGTGCCACCAGCTTCCCTCCCAGGTCTGCACCCCTGTCACCCTCCCCCCCACTCACAGCCCCCCAGACATGCCGAGTGCTCCCAAGGTCCCAGCTGCTACATTAGCTCCATTCTATCTCCTTGTTCTTGCTTACTTCAATGGATTTTTATTTTTCCTTAAGTCACTTGGTCCCACTCCAACTCTTTTTGCTCTCAAAAATCTCACTATTTATACAGGATCCTGTACCTTATCTTTAGATAACAATTGCCTTATGCATGGCAAAACAATACATATTTGCATTTCTTAAGAAATCCCTATTGGTATAATGACAATTCCAGAAAAAATTCCTTAGGCTCTATATTTTTATTTGAATGCAGATTAACCTTCTCACTTTCTTCCTTCTAAAATGTCTTCTCACAGATATCCCTTGAGGCTGAAGGGCATTTTTCTAATAGAAAGTGCTGTTAATTAAAGTGTTGGAAGAAAGTACTTTTTTAGTGTCTACTGAACTAGAAAATCAAGCTTAAAGAGCAATTCTTTCCATATTAAATGTCTATCACATGCAGGATGTGGGGAAACTAAATACAGTGCTGGTAGAAATATAAATAAAATGATGCAGCCACTGTGGAAAATAGTTTGGCAGTTCCTCATAGAGTTACCATATGACCCATCAATTCCACTCCTAAGTATATACCCAAAAGAAATGAAAACGTGTCCACACAAAAACTTGTACACAAATATTCAGAGCAGCATTATCCACAATAATCAAAAAGTGGAAACAACCCAAATGCCCATCTACTGATGAATGGATAAACAAAATGTGGTATATTCATACAATGGAGTATTATTTGGCCATAAAAAGGAATGAGGTTCTGATGCACTTGCTACAACTTGGATGAACCTTGAAAACATGATGCTAAGTGAAAGAATCCAGTCACAAAAGATCACATATCATATGATTCCATTTATATGAAATGTCCAGAAGAGATAAATCCATAGAGACAGTAAGTAGAATAGTGGTTGCCCGGAGCCAGGGGGCTTGGGGAAAGTTGGGGTGCTATCTAAAGGGTATGGGCTTCTTTCTGGGGAGATAAAAATGTTCCAAAATTGATTGTGGTGATGGTTGCACAGCTCTGTGAACATACGAAATAACGTTAAACTGTACACTCTAAATGGCTAACTGGTATTGTATACCAATTACATCTTAATAAAATTATTACCAAAAAACTGTCTACCCAAGTAAGCCATTACAGGGAGTGAGTGGGCTGTTACACACAATGCAATGAACAGTCTTCCCTCCAATTCTGACTTCCAGGAAGCAACCAACATCACCAGTTTCTTGTGTTTTGACACTGCCCATTTCTTGATCTGCCCATTTCTTGATCTTGTACAGAGCAAGGACTAAGGGACTAAACGGAAGGAACTGGACCCCCCAGTGGTTCACCTGGTCACTCCACCATGTGACACACAAATAGTCAGACCGTCTAGAGGGGGAGACAGAAACAGGCACAAACAACTATAATAAAATAATCAGATGGTAATAATAGGTAGCAAGTACACTTCCATAGAAAATGTGGTACAGGAATTGCTAAAGGGAAGTTAAAATTGCTAAGCTCCCTAGAAGAGGAAAGGACTGCTGGGAATTCAGAGGAAGCTGGGATTTGAATTAGCATTAGGACATAAATGTGCAGTTGCCAATAAGGATAATAGTATCTAACTTGTAGTGAGTGCTTATTATGTGCCAGGAACTATTCTGATGTTCTAAGTGCTTTCACCATCTCATGAGCTCTGCAGCAGGTCGTACTGTTAACTCCTTTTTAGAGTTGAGGAAACTGAGGACAGCACCGTGAAATAACTCCCCACATCTCACAGCTAGAGAATAACAAAGGCAAGACTGGACCCAGGTCATTGGGCTCCAGAGCCAGTGCTTTCAGTAACAGTTGACAGCAGGGGGGAAACTCTGAGAAAAGGGTCCGTGAGGAAGCATCAGCAGAAAAGTGGTAAAGGGCAGAATGTACACGCAAAAGAGAAACAGACTCACAGGTAGCGAACACAAACCTCTGGTTATCAAAGGAGAGAAGGAAGATGGGGAGGGACAAATTAGAAGTATGGGATTAAGAGATACAAACAACTATGTACAGAACAGATAAGCAACAAGGATACACTGTACAGCCCAGGGAATTATACCCATTATCTTGTAATAGCCTATAATGGAGTATAATCTGCAAAAACACTGACTCACTGTGCTGTACACCTGAAACCAATGTACTACCGTAAACCAACTGTTCTTTAAAAACAGATGACTGGGATGTGTGAAGCAACGGTTCCCAGAAGAAGGCAAGGCAGTGTCTGTCTGTCTGCGGGGGTGACGGGAGTCCAGGAGCTGATTTTGACTGGAGTGACTGAGAGGTGGCAGATGAGGGGCCAGAGGAGGGCAGCCGATCTGGTCTTTGGAGGGAGCATGAATTCTGTGGAGAGCAGCCTGAGCGTGAGGTGCTCGGGCACATGTCCACTCTGTGTGTTTACAGACAGAGGAACGCAGCCCTGATGCTGAAGAGCACTCAAACGCAGGAGAAGGACGTGGCAGTCACCTTGCAGAGGACGCCAGAGGGGTCCCAAGGTCAGGGGAAATAACCAGAGAGAGAGAAGCCACGGCGACATGCTCCAGACCATACCAACCCTTAGCTAGAAAACAAAACAGGTCTGAGCCACTGGCTGTTTCTGGGTGGAGTGACTACAGATCCTTTTAATTTTCCTCTAGTTACATTTTCTCTTCAATAGTTGCTACATTTTCTATAACAAAGCCTAACTTTCCAAAGAAGAAAAAATAAAGATTTTACATATATGTGATACAAACCCAGGTATGCATGTATATGCCATATAAATTAAGTAGCTCAACTTCGATGGGCCTCTTATGAGACTGAAGATGTGATGGTCAAATGGCCACTTTTTTTTTTTTAACTACAGCAAATTGAAATTCCTGGGGCTATCATTTAAAAGCCCATAAATAAGGATTTATCCCAGATGCTCTATCTCCCTAATGAACAGAAAAGGAGCAGCCACTTGTCTTCTTTGGTTTCTTCTCGTTCTGTTTCTCCTCCCTAATTTCCTCCTTCTTCTCACCCTCAAAACGGGAACAGATCTAGAAAAACTATAGTGCCTGGGACAGGATAGCCTGGGCCAATCCTAGGCAGTGGATTGATAAC